CTGACTGAACAAAATCAGAAGGGCTCTCACAAAATGGCATGTCCATTTAAGCAACCCAGGACAAAAAATCACATCATATATTCCCTCCAACACGCTCCCCACCAAAAAATAAAATAAAAAAACAGGTAAGGTGAACCTCAGGGATACTCTTGGAAAAAAACTATTCCTTAGAGTCAGAGGACTTATTGGCTGACTGCATTTATTCGGGCTGTTTGGGGCACTAGTTGGGGAGCCCCCTTCTTCACCCCTGACAGCTCTGCTCTGAGCCCTTGATTCCCCGCAGGACAGGAACAGGAACCACGCTGAGGTATGCTGTCGCACTTGCACCACCGTCTTCCCGTGCTCTCATGGAGAGGACTTGCTGTGAAATCATTCCATCGGGGCTGGCTACAGTCAGCCCTGGTCCCATGCTGTCTGATGCCTCCTCGGCTTTACTTAGCAATATTGCGCTGCGAATCTAGAACCCCATTCTGCACAGCTTCCCTCCTTCCTCTTCTCCTGCCCTTTCCTTCTCCATGCCGTTGAACCAGAGTCCTGGAGAAACAGAAGCAGAGCAAGGGCTGTGGCTGGGAGTCATAGACTATGTGTGATCAGTGCGTTTCTGGCTATGATTACCCAGCTTAAAAAAAAAAATAGAGGCATTGTTCAACATCCAAAGTGTATAACAGCAAGTAATTTATCCTGATGGGGGCAGTGGTGGTTCAGTGGGAGTTTTCTTGCCTTCCATGCAGTAGACCCAGGTCCGATTCCTGACCAGTGCACTTCATGCGCGGCCACCACTTATCTGTCAGTGGAGGCTTGTGTGTTGCTATGATGCTGAGCAGGTTTCATCAGAGCTTCCAGCCTAGGATGGACTAGGAAGAAAGACCTGGTGATCTACTTCAAAAAGTCAGCCTATGCAAAAACCTAAGGATCACAATGGTCCAGTCCCCAACCAATCACAGGGATGGCACAGGACTGGGCAGCATTTCTTTTCATTGTACATGGGGTCACCATGAGCAAAGGGCTGACTCAGCGGCACCTAACAACAACAACAATTTATCCTAGATACATTGCAGCTTTTTCTTCCATATTAGGGATAGCCAATACTTATAAAATGTATGACTTTAGCAACTAATTTAAGTCAGGACTCTATATGGTGACTGACAGAAATTCAATTCAATTTACTTTAAGCAATAAAAAAAGGAGGGGGGTTGTGACTTATTAACTCACAAAAGTAAGAAGTTCAAGGGTACACTGACAGGCACAGCAAGATCTAGGGATTTAAATGATGTCATCAGGATACTGTTTCATTCTTAGGCAGACTGTCCCATGGGGTGGCAAGGATGGCCACTGACAGCTCTAGGCTTATGTTTTCCACACAGCTAGAATCTTAGTAGAAAGAGACTGCCCTTTTCCTGAAAAAGTCCCAGGAGGGCTTTGTATCCTGCCTGTTCCTCTGATCTGCCAGGCCTGAGTTATGTGTCCTTGTCAGGGTGGATGGTGGGACCAGCCCTTCACAAACCACATGGGTTAAGAATGGAGGAAGGGGGGTCAGTTCCCACCTTGAAATGCACTTGAATCCTGTAAAACACCTGGGACTCATATATGTTTGCTAAATTCCAACCCCCAATTCCTTTGAGACTCCTAGAGAGAGTAGGAGAGACTGATGTCTTGTTACTTGACCACTGGGGTTACTAATACAGTCAATGAGCCCAGGACAACCTAGATCCCAAATTGCTGGTACCTACAGAATATATGTGTAACATATGCAAATAAATACCCTGAGTTGTGTCAAGATGGGACAGAGAACCCATGGAAAATATTGGACTTCCTGGCAAATGGAATGGAAGCTTGGAGCATTTGGGATATTACTATAAAGGTGATTCATTTGTTCTCCCAGATTGGTAAAGACCAGGACTTTCTAGTTACATAAAAACGTGCAGTATGTTGCCAAGAAATCAGCCTATGGATATATTTGGGCAAAAGAGGGAAGAAAAAAATATTTTTGCCCCTTAAAGGAATTTCCCCCAATAGTCTTCAGTACTCAGCTTTAATTTGTATTGAGTTTGTACACAGTAGAAAGAAAGACAGGGTTTTGAATATGCACAAGAAGAAAGAGAAGGGTGAAGAAAGACGAGACCAAAGGGGATGAGAAGATTGAACACTTTAGAATCTAAGAAGGTTACATCTCTTTCCTGTCACTTCTCCACCTCCAGTGCAGAGACTAGGCTAACCGGGGAGATGTGTTTAATTAGCCTTAGAGGGAGTTATTGCGTACTTACATGGCACACCACATACGGTCTGACAACACTGGCCAGATTTGCTGTGAATAAGACAGCAGTCCTTGCTGAATGAGGAGCATGGATTTTACGAGAAAACTGACTTTAAAGTTGTTGTAGCCAGTTACAATTTTTCACACTTATAAATGGACGTCAGTATCTTTTTTCTTTTAAATAATTCCAAACTTACAGAAAAGTTACAAGAATGATACAAACAACTGCCATGTAACCTTTAATCCAAGTCACCAATAATGAATATTTTGTCAAATTTGCTTTAGCATTCTCTTCTCTGCACCCCTTCTACGTAATATATTTCATGCACATACATATTTTTGTCTGATCCATTTGAGAGTAGATTACATGTATCATACCCCTGTACCCCTGTTATAGATTGAATTGTGCTCCCCTGTTATAGATTGAATTGTGCTCCCCCCAAAAAATATGTATGGCAAATCCTTAACTCTGTGCCTGTAGTATGGAGCCCTGGCGGAGAAGTGGTTAAGCACTAACCAAAAGGTTGGTGGTTGGAACCCACCAGCCACTCCTTGGAGAAAGATGTGGCAGTCTGCTTCTGTAAAAAGATTTACAGCCTTGGAAACCCAATGGGGCAGTTCTGCTCTGTCCTATAGGGTTGCTATGAGTTAAACTCGACGAGACGGCAATGAGTTTATTTTTACCTTCGTTTTTAATGCCTGTGGTTATAATCCCATTTGGGAATGGGTTGTCTTTGTTATGTTAATGGTACAGGATTAGTGTAGCATGTGTTTTAAATCAGTCTCTTTTGAGATATAAAAGAGAGATTAAACAAAGAAGAAAAAGAAACATGGAGGAAGATAGATGCCATGCCACATGATCGATCGCCAAGAACAGAAACTGAAAAGAGACAGGGACCTTCCTCCAGAGCCAACAGAGAGAGAAAGCCTTCCCCTAGAGCCAGCACCCTGAATTCAGACTTCTAGCCTCCTAAACTGTGAGAAAATAAATTTCTGTTTGTTAAAGCCACCCACTTGTGGTATTTCTGTTATAGCAGCACTAGATAACTAAGGCAACCCCTTAAATCTTCAGTTTGTACTTCGTAAAAACAAGTACAGTTATCAAATTCAGGAGATACATTATCAATAGAATAATTTTGTCTAAACTACAGTCCATAGTCCAGTTTTGCCAGTTGTTTCAATGGTGTCCTTTATAGGGGTATTTTTTCCTGGTATAAGATTCAGCATTTAGTCATCAGGTCTCTTTAGTCCTCCTTTAATCTGGAACAGTCCTCAGCCTGTCCTTATCTATCAAGATACTAACATTTTTTTTAAGAATACCAGTTGTCGCGGAGTCAGTTCCAACTCATGGCAACCCCATGAGTGTCAGATTAGGGCTGTGCTCTACAGGGTTTTCAGTGGCTGATTTTTCAGAAGTAGATCACCATTCCTTTCTCCTGAGGTGCCTCTAGGTGGACTGGAACTTCGAACCTTTTTGTTAGCAGCCAAGTGCATTAACTGTTTGCACCACCCAGGGACTCCTCAGTAGAGTATCTCTCGATTTGTTTTAGTCTGATGCTTCCTCAGAATTCATTTATGCATTTTGGTATTTTTGGCTGGAACACTACATGAGTGCTGTTGGGTCCTCCTCAGGGCATCATAGTAGGAGACATACATTGTCTATTTGTCCCTTATTGGAAACATGAATTTTAATCACTTGCTTAAGGTGTCATCCAGTCTCTCCTGTATAGATTTTTCATTTTGTACTTAATAATTTGTGGAGAGATACTTTGAGACTATGTAAATATCCCATTCCTCATCAAACTTTCCCTTCTTTCCAGTCTCCGGAAAGTTCTAAACAGCCTTGAGTTGTTATGTAGATTAATGGGTGTATCAAATTAATAGAAAAATACTTGAAAAGGCAAGTAAACAGTTTGTAAATATTTGATGGAATAGCCAATACAGAGAGTAGCTAAAGCAATATTTTGTGTTCACTCGGTGAGGAATAAAAAACGTAATAACGTGGGCTGGGAATGGGGGGGTGGGAGGCGGGGGGCAGGGCATGTGTGGTTCAGTCATGGGAGAGATGGCCTTGGTGTGTGGAAATTTTGCCATCCTCTATTTTCCTTCAAGAATCTTTCCTTGGAGCCACACAAATGAACATACAGCTTCTCCTATCTGATTCTCACAAAAAATCTCACCTTTGTGGGGGCTGGGGGGATGGGGAGGCAAAAGGAAATAAAATGAATGAGTGCATATCAGGACTTTTGGGGGGAAAAAATCTAATTCTAGGGTATATCTGGGAGTTTACACATTTTGCCCAATCCCCCCTGCCTACTTTCTGTGTCCATAGTACTTTTTGTTGAGGATAATGTTCAAAAGTTGTTCCTGTACTCAATATGGTATGAAACTGGAGAAATACATTTCAGAAAAAATCTTCAACAACAGGAATTAAAAATAAAGGGATTTTCAGGGTTTATTCTCCAGTTACCAGGAAGTTTTAAATAGGAGGGCATGCTATATTCTCTAGGCTCCCAGTTAATTCAGATTTTACTCTGTAGCCTTTATAAAGTATTCACTTCCCTGAACTTTTTGCTGAATCCCATATAAAGTTTTGCCATAGAACCTGAGATTTTTTTCCTAAGGCCTATATAGAAATCCCTTTTCTTTAGCTTTGGAGATATAAACTACTTTCTATTTTCAGATTATCTTTCAAGAATGTTGAAAATGCCTTGCCCAGTCTTCGTTTTCTGTTCTTCCTTCTCAGGATTTAAACCTGGCACTTCCCAGCCCAATGGTCAGATTCCCCAGGCTGCACATTCTGTTAGTGCTGTTCTCGCTGAGGTCAAGAGACAGGTGGAACCACCCAAGGTAAGGGCAAAGAGTGATTTATATACACCCTACCTAACTGTCCCCTAGGAGCCTATATTCTAAACCACTAGCAGCGTTCAGGGTGGCGAAAATGATTAAGCACTCAACTACTAGCCAAAAGGTTGGTGGTTCCATCTAGAGGCACCTTGGAAGACAGGCCTGGTGATCTCTTTTACTCTGCAACACATGGGGTTGCCATGAGTCAGAATCGAGTCAACAATAACTAACAACAAACAGTGTTCTAGTAACTGCTCTTTTAACAACAGAAAGTACAGTTCTAACAACTAAGAAGTCACTATAATTTCATTTAGGTAAATGCTTATATTTTTTATCTTTAAGTAATATAGGCCAGAATCGAAAGTTAATACTGCTTTGGGAAAATAAAAGAATTTTCCTTTTTTAATGATGGAGGTTGATAAGTATTTTTTATTTAGTTACATTTATTTTTGATTGAAGTGAACTTTTCTTGGGTTAGTCAAGTGATTTTAGCACCCTTTGAAAGTGACACATGAGTATTAAGCGCTTGAGATTTTACATATTTTTTCCTAAATAAATAGGGGCAACCAGTTAGAAGGAAACTCTGGATTGAGTGCTAACTGGGCCCCAGAACCAGATTATAAAATTACTAAAAGGGTTACACTATAAAATAAGCATTTTTGTTAATTATATTTTCCTGTTAATGTCTAGATACATCCCTAGAGTGATGGAGCAGAAATCACATTTTAAAACAATAACAGTACTACATCCAATTTGTCAATCAATTATAACTTAAATAAATGTGTTAATCCTATCTCCTCAACTACACCATTGCTTCTAGAAAGGAGAGATACATTTTATTGCCAGAATTGGAACCAAAATATGCAAACAAGTACAACTTGCAGGTCAGGGAGGTAGACTAGAAAAAAGCTGAGGCAAAAATATTCCTGTTGCCATCAAGGCGATTCCAACTCATAGTGACCCTATAGAACAGAGTAGAACTGCCCCATAGGGTTTCCAAGGAGCGGCTTGTGGATTTGAACCACTGACCTTTTGGTTAGCAGCCAAACGTTTAACCACTGCGCCACCATGAGGCCAGGCTAGATCCAAGGCAGAAAACAGGAAACCCGGGGGTCACTGCAGAATTGGGGAACTGAAATCAGATGAGCAATGCAGAGTGGAGATGTGTCCAGGACTGAGGGTCAGGGTATCACCATGGCTCAGAATCAGGGAATCAAGCCAGAGTTAAGAGTCCACAGTAAATAATGAAGATCAGAGCAAGCTATAGGTCAACAAAGAGGCCAGAAGAAAGCAGAACAAACATGCCTAAGGAAAAGAAAGGCAATTGGCCAGAAGTTCAAAGCAACAGTCAGCAACTACACAGACCTGAAGAAGTAGGGTAAAACAAACCTACAAAAAAGATTAAAATGCTCATTAAACAGATGATTAATGTTCAGTTAATTACTAGAGCTAACATGGGTTCACTAAGGATAAATTTTGCCAAGTTGAATTCATTTCCTTGTGTAATAGGGTTATGTCTTAGTTATCTAGTGCTGCTATAACAGAAATACCACAAGTGTGTGACTTTCATAAACAGAAATTTATTCTCTTAGAATTTAAGAGGCTAGAAGTCCAAATTCAGGGCACAAGCTCTAGGGGAAGACTTTCTGTCTCAGCTCCGGGCAAAGGTCTTTGTCATCAGTCTTCCCCTGGTCTAGGAGCCTCTCAGCGCAGGGACCCCAGGTCCAAAGGACACACTCTGTTCCTGGCATTTCTTTCTTTGGTGGTATGATTCCCTCTCCTCTCTGCCTAATTCTCTTTTATATCTCAAAAGAGATTGACTCAAGATGCAACCTAATCCTGCAGATTGAGTCCTGCATCATTAACATAACTGCCTCTAATCCTGCCTCATTAACATCATAGAGGTTAGGATTTACAACACATAGGAAAATCACATCAGATGACAAAATTGTGGACATCCACACAATACTGGGAATCATGCCTAGCCTAGCTGACACACATTTTTGGAGGACACAATTCAATCCCTAACAGGTTACAAAGTTGATAAATCTGATCATGTTACTCTCTTGCTTAAAGGTTTATCATTACCCTTCGCTTACAGGATAAAGCCCAAATTTCTTAACCTGGCATTAGAGACCCTTCACACACTACCTCATCTCTTGCCACTTGCTGCCCTGAACCTGGCACTCCACCCAAACTAGACCATTTGCTGTTCCTGAACCACTCCAAAGACGTTTACTTCTCTGTGGTTTGCTCTTACTGTTTCTCCACACTGGCCTATCTTCCAGTCTCCACCGCCCACTTACTTAACAAAAATCCTACATCTTTTTCAAGGCCCACATCAAATGTCATTTCTTTTGTGAAGCTCTCCTTTCTCTTTTTTCCCCATGAAGAATTAATCATCCCTTTCTTTAGACTCTCAATATTCTTCGTTTATACTTAGGAGTCCCTGTGTGATGCAAACGGTTAACATGCTTGGCTGCTAACCAAAAGGTTGGAGGTTTGAATCCAGCCAGAGGTGCATCGGAAGAAAGGCCCGGTAATCTACTTCTGAAAGATCAGCCATTGAAATGCTATGCAGCACAGTTTTATTCTGACACACATGGTCGCCATGAGTCAGAATCAACTCAACAGCAAGTAGGGTTTTGTTGTTGTTGTTGTTGTTTTTCTCTAGAGTCTCAATTAAAAAAACAAAAAAAATTGCCATCTAGTCAATGCCGACTCTTAGCGACCCTATAGGACAGAGTAGAATGGCTCCATAGAGTTTCCAAGTAGCGGCTGGTGGATTAGCAGCAGAACTCTTAACCACTATGCCACCAGGGCTCCACAGAGTATCAGTATACTTATTAATACTTCTAATACATAATATGTTGTTGTTGTTCGGTGCCATAGAGTTGATTTCAACTCATAGCGACCCCATGTGACAGAGTAGAACTGCCCCACAGGGTTTTCTTGGCCATAATCCTTACGGGAGCAGATCACCAGCTCTTTCTCCCATGGAGCCACTGGGTGGGTTCAAACTACCAACCTTTCAGTTAGCAGCCAAGTGCTTACCTATTGTGCCATCAGGGCTCCTTAATATATAATATAATGCATATTATACAATCCATTATATATTAACTCAAATATACATATATACCGGCAGTACAAATTAGAGATAATGGATATTTAATTATAGATACATTGATTTGTAGTTAGTGTAGTTAGGGTCTGTCTCCCTGCTAGACTGTGAACTCTTTAGGACTAGAATAATATCTTGGTCATTTTTTGTATCTTCAGCATCTAACACAAAACCTAGCAGATAGGAGGTCAACAGTACACGTTTATTAATTCAAACGGGAGGAAATGCCAAATACAATGTATCATCATATATTTATATAGTATTTAATAAATCTTCAAGGTTGTCATTATAAATAATGTTGTAAAATGTAGACCATGTGAAGCTTTTTGAACACAGCCAAACTGGAAAAAGGTCTCTAATGCTACCAAGTTTATCCTAGTCAACATTTTTATTAGTGAATTGGATTAAAACATACAAAGAATGTTTATCAAATGTGCAAGGAGGCCCACTAATATCATAGGTAAGAGAAGCAAGATTTTTTAAATGAACCAAATAGGCTGGAATGTTAGCCTCAACCTAAGAAGGAAAAATTTAAATAAAATCCAGTATTTAAATTTCAAAAATAAGCTGCACATGTTGAGTGTGGTAGAGATTTAATTTAGCAACAATTAATGTGCAGAAGAGTTGGAAGCTTCAGCTAATCAAAAGCTTTACAAGCAAACAGTGACGCATGAAAAGATGTTCAAAGCCATTAGTCATTAGGGAAATGCAGATCAAAACCACAATGAGATACCACTTCACACCCACTAGAATGGCTAGAAGTTTAAAAAAAAAAGAGGAAAATAACAAGTGTTGGTGAGGGTGTGGAGAAATTGAAACCCTCATCCATTGTGGCAGTAATGTAAAATGGTGCAGCTGCTGTGGAAAACACTTTGACGGTTCCTTAGCAAGTTGAACAAATTATCATATGACCCAATGATGCCACTCCTAGGTATGTGTCCAGAATAACTGAAAACAGGTATTCATACTGAAACTTGCACACAGATGTTCGTAGCAGCACTACTCACAATAGCCAAAAGGTGGAAACAACCCAAATGTCCATCAACTGATGAATGGATAAACAAAATGTGGTATGTCCATATAATAGAATATTATTCAGCCATAAAAATTAATGAAACACTGATACATGCTACAAGATGGATGAACCTTGAAAGCATTATCCTAAGTAAAAGAAGCTGGACACAGAAGGCCACATATTGTATCATTCTGTTTAGAGGAAATATCCAGAATAGGCAAATCCATAGAAACAGAAAGCTGATTAGTGGTTGCCAGGGTTGGGGGAGGGTGGACGGGGAGTGACTGCTTCATGTATACTGGTTTTCCTTTTGGGGTATTCTGAACTAGATAGTAGCGATGGTTGCATGAAATTGTCAGTATACTAAGTACCATTACACTTTACACTTTAAAATGATTACAATGGTGAATTTTATGTTTCGTGTGTTTTACCACAATTTTTTTAAAAAGCAGTGAGAAGAAAGAAAAAAAAAACCCAGCCAAACTGGTATAACATCCTTCATGGCCTTTTTTAAAAGTAGACTAATGAGGACTGATTTATATCTATCTAATAATTGTAAACTAGTTGCTAATCACAGTTATAACATCAAAGTTCCATTTAATATTTCCCATGTGTGATTCAAAACAGCCTTAAATAATTCTGACAATAGCATACCATCCAGCTATTGCAGTTAGTATGTTTAGCTTCATTCTCCTCTGCATTTTGTCTGTTAGCCAGTGGTAGAAACAGTTCTATCTCGGTATTTATTGAACTTCTTATAATTTTTTAAAACTATCGTAGACCGTTAAAAGTTGTGTTTCTCTAATGTTCTTGTTGTCTTCTCCTGTCTGACAGCCTCATCATGCAGTGTGCTTTCAGCTGTTATTATTTTAATGATTTCTATAATGACAATTGAAGAGAAACATTTTAAAATGCTGGAAGCAATAAAAGAATCCCAGAATAGACATCACTAAACTATGTATGAACACAAATTCCCCAGCTGCCTGTTCTGAAATTTAAAAAAAATACATCACCAGATAATTAGATTATCACACTAAGTAAATAAACTAAATAAAATAGAAACTCAATCATAAGGTACTTTGTTGGATAAAAAAAATCTTCTAAATTTAATCTTCAATGGTAAGAGATCATTAAGCAAACAAAGAAATCAAAGGAAGCCTGATAAAATGTAAATTGAATGATAATTATCACTAAAACAGAGGGATTCAATTTAGCTGCCTAAAATTCTTGGGGAAGTTGCATTATATAAATCTAAATTATTATTATCTATGCAGCCAATCCATGGGAGAAAGACCTGGCAATCTGCTACCATAAAGAGTACAGCCAAGAAAACCCTATGGGGCAGTTCTACTATGTCTCATAGGTCGCTGTGAGTCGAAAATCAACTCAACGGCACCTAACAACAACTCCCCACTCACTGCTTAGTTACAAAGATGTGCCACCAGGGTCCTAATAAGCACATGCAAGAGATAAACATTCTCCTTGGTATGAGTTGAGCTGGTTGTGAAGCTCAGTTGTCAGCTTCACAGGTATAGGATGATTCCAAGTGGTCTTTAAAGTTACTCCATGTAGGTGCTAATCCCATGTCTTCTGTAAATGATGTTGTTGGTAGTTGCCGTGGAATCAATTCCGACTCATGGTGACCCCATGTGTGCAGAGTAGAGCTACTCCATAGGGTTTTCAAGGCTGTGGCCTTTCAGAAGCAGATCACCAAGCCTTTCTTCTGAGCTGCTTCTGGATGGGTTCTAACCACCAACATTGCAGCTAGTAGTCAAGCACTTAATCATTTGTGCCACCCAGGGGTATGCCTCTGTTAACCTTTAGCCAAGGTTCATGTCCTGGTTTCTACCAATAGCACATGCATTAAGACATGACTTTTCAGAACTAACTCACATATTTATCTCACTTGTTCTCACCACAACCTTGAGACAGATAATAACAGGTATCGTGATGCTCATTTTATACTTAATTAACCAGCCCACTTTCATACAGTTAAGAAAAGGCAAGTCCAAGACCAAGTCTCCTGATTCCTGGTCTACCCCACTGCCTTTCCTGAAGCTGTTATGCCAGAAGGAGTGAAACTTATAATTAGTTCCTCTCTAGAGGTCCAGGAGCCCTGGTGGTGCAGTGGTTAAGAGCTCAGCTGCTGACCAAAAGGTCAGCAGTTCGAATCCACCAGCCATTCCTTGGAAATCCTATGGAGCAGTTCTACTCTGTCCTGTAGGGTTGCTATGAGTCGGAATTGACTCAAAGGCAACTGGTTTTGGTCTAGAGGTCCAAGTCCTGGACCTTTCTTCTCAGAAAGCTAATACAAGGAGAGACTTTGTATTTCCCAGCAAGGGTTGAGAATACAAATGCTTTGCCAGGAAAGATATCCTTTGTGCTCAGGTTTGCCCAAAGGTTGCCTGTAGCCCAGAAAGAATTCTTTCAGTTAACTTCCCTTCTTCCATCTTCTTTGTCCTAATGAAGTAGGACATTTAAACCAGGAGGTTTTGTGAACAAGATTTAGGAAGTCCTTTAACCACCTCTGGTCCCTGGGTGGTGCATACAATTAAAGGTTGGAGATTTGACTCCACGCAGAGGCAGTCTACTTCCAAAAAATCAGCCATTGAAAACCCTATGGAGCACAGTTCTACTGTGACACACATGGGGTCACCATGAGTTGAAGTCGACTTGATGGCAACTGTTTTGGTTTAACCACCTCTGCCATTGAGGGTATGGCACAAGAACAAAATAATTTTACAGATACCTACACCTGACAACTTATCTACACAGCCAGCTCAGCCCATACCAAGAAGAATTTCTATCTCTGCATATGCTAAAGACCCTGGTGGCTTATCTCTGGAACTAAGGAGTGAGTGGGAAGTCCAGGAAAGCCATTTTGCTTCCATTTTGAGTTGCCTTAGCCTGAACCATAAACCAAAAAAGCAAACCCATTGCTGTTGAGTCCATTCCAACTCATGGCAACCCCATGTGTTACAGAGTAGAACTTATTCGTAGGGTTTTCTTGGCTGTAATCTTTACAGAAGCAGATCACCAGGCCTTTCTTCTGAGTTGCCACTGGGTGGGTCCCAACTGCCAACTTTCAGATCAGTAGAGAAGTGCAAATCGTTTGCTGCCACCCAAGGACCATAGGCTGAACCATAGCTAGTAGGAAAAGACTGAGGTCACCACAGCTGGCAAAGATCTATACCACTAATGCCCTTTTAGAGACAAATGGTAACTCCTGTATGAGGTGGATTCCAGGGAGATGCATGTCCAATCTAAAGATAAATACCTCATTGAGTAAGGCAGAGTCTTTCATCTACAGAAGACATGGGATTAGCACCCACATGTAGTAATGTTAAAGACCATGTGGAGTTATTCTCCTTATCCCAGAGGAAAGATGAGCTCATTAACACCCATATAGTCTAAAAGACTGTGATTGAGGCTCCTTCGTGGGCTGGCACTGCCTAAATCACCCAGATCACGATTCCACTCACAGCGACCCTATAGGACAGGGTAGATTCTCCCATGGGGTTTCCAAGGCTTTACAGAAGCAGACTGCCACATCTTTCTCCTGAAGAGCGGCTGGTGGATTAGTGGTTTCCAACCGACCCTTCGGTTAGTGGCCAAGCACTTAACCACTGGCCACCAGGGCTCCTTTTTTCACACGTCAGTGGAAATGTCATCTGATAGTGGCTGTTTTATCTTCTCTGTGGAAACAAGAACAATGCTGTTGTTGCTTTGTTTAAGAATAACGTGCCAGCCCTTGGTAACCAGGACCTCAAAGCGCCCAGAGCCTATCACCTTCCCAAGTCCAGCCAGCCGCCGCCTCCACCTATACGACGATCATCAGACACCAGCTGCAGTCCGGTGTTACCCTCCAAGCCCAAGAGTACCGCCGGAGTCTTCCCAGCCCCGCCAGACGATTTTCTGCCGCCCCCGCCGCCGCCGCCCCTGGAAGAGGTCGATCTCCCGCTCCCGCCTCCGCCTCCGCCCCCGGATTTTCACGAAGCACCCCCGGACTTTGTGCCTCCCCCACCGCTTGCGACTGCCGGGGTCATGGGGTCTTTACTGCCTCCTCCCCCGCCCCCACCCACCCTCGCCCCTGAATCCAGGCAGCTGCCCCACACTGTCGCCAGAAAGCTACCCGTTCCACCAAAGAGGCAAGAGAACCCGGGTCCACCCAGCGGGGGAGAAAGTGGGGAGCAAGATTTTATGTCAGATCTCATGAAAGCTTTGCAAAAGAAACGAGGCAACATGTCTTAAGGGAAATATTTGTGTGTGATAGGTATAATCATTTCTAACCTCAGGTGCATTTTTGCTACTTTCTTTTTGTAACATCTTGTTCATTTCAGGTAAACTGTTGAAGTGTTCAGACTAGACATGATGTAAAACTTTTCAGTATTGCCGAAGTACATTCATAATCATTAACCTAACACAGAATTTATGTCTACCTAAATGTACATATCTTTTCTATGTATTTTCACTTAAATGCCATTTCTCTTCCCTTCCAAGTAAACTAAAATGTTTTGTGTTCATTTATTTTATTATGTTCAGGAGCATCAAGTTAATAAAAAGTTAAATGTTTTTCCTGAAAGTGGTATTTCTAGAAACATGGCATAAATTTAGTGAGCTATCAATACTAAAATTTTATAATATACTTTATTTTTTAAAATACTTTTCAAAATCACAGTGCCTTCTAAAGTCTTCTTGACCTTAGGTATATTTTCCATCTCCCCCTCGGTGACCTTCAGAATTTTCAGAAAAATCAGAAGAGGAAAAAGAAGAAAACAGGAGAGGTCACATTCAGTTTCTTTGAGACTCAGCCCTTGATTGATTGGGATCCTGGACATTTATGCTGTTTTTGTGAGGTTTTTTAAATGGTTGAATACCATAATAATTGAAAAAATAATTTAGATAATTTTCGGATTCCTAGAATGCTACAAACATCTTACAGTAGGGATAGGAAAAGGCAATCATATATATTCTTCAATTTGGAATGCTTTTCCCTCAGAGATAAATTTAATGCCCAATTTTAATAACCAATTTATTCTGGGTACCCATTATCCTTCTTTTTCTAATTGGCTTCTGATAGGCCTTTAATTTTGTTCTTAGTTTTATTTCCACGGTTCTGTTTTATATTTTCTTTATTGTGAAATGCTTCAAAATATTAAGGTAGGTAGAAAGTAAATAAATAAATAATGCATTATTTTTAAAATTAAGGAAGATGATTAATCTCATGTTTTGATGTTTGGAAAAAATAAGCTCTAAACTGACAAACAGTTTCAGTTACATTTAAAACAAAAATACAAATTCAGTTTTAGAACCCAAATATTTAGTACCTAAAACTGGGAAGGTGCTCTTAAATTTTTCTTGAGAATGTGCTTGAAATAGGATTGAAGGTAAGTTTGACATTACATCTTTCCTCATGTACAGTAAGTAACTCTGTCCTGTGTGTCTTTGCTTTATGATATTCCATTGACTCCAGACCCAGTGAAAACACAGCTTTTCTAAGCTTGACTAAAGCCAGTTATTGTCGAGTCATTTCCAACTCATAGCGACCCCATGTGTCAAGTAGAGCTGTGTTCCATAGGGTTTCCAATGGCTGATTTTTTGGAAGAAGATTACCAGGCCTTTCTTCCAAGGCACCTCTGGGTGGACTTGAACGTCCAACCTTTCAATTAGCAGCTGAGTGTTACCTGTTTGTACCACCCAGGGACTCTTGAGCCTGGCTGAAAAAAAAATTGCCATTGAGTTGACTGTGACTCATGGCAACGCCATGTGTTAGGGTAGAACTGAGTTCCATAGAATTTTCTTGGCTATAGTCTTTATGGAAGCATATCACCAGGCCTTTCTTCCTTGGAGCCAATGAGTGAATTCGAACCATCAACCTTTCTGTTGGTAGCCAAGTGCAAACCATTTGCACCATCCAGGGACCTCTAACCCTGACTAAAACCTGGTAATCATACAGACTTCTGGGACAATATAGAAAAGACGTTAATGGCATAACGTTGAGGAGAGGTAAAAAAAAGAATGTATGTGGCCACAGAGACTTGTCTAGGTTGCTCTTAACTTGCAATAGGTTAATGAACCAATCACTTGAGGCTCAGGACAAAAGATCCTTAATAAGGATTGTTATCTGGATCTTACTTATCTTGATCAAAATTACTGCCTGGTTTGCTGATCAGGAAACTTTGAAAGTGCTCCATGATCACATCTACAGAAGGGAGCAAAAGTGCCGTCTCCATCTTACGGTCACAGAATCTTTAAGATGAAGGGACCTTGGAAATGACTAACGCACTATATTAATTAGGATTCTGACTTTATGTAACAAAACCAACTGGAGCAAGCTCAAACAAAAAGCAGGGATTCATTACACAATTCAGAGGCAGCATCTTAGTAACCTAAGGTTAAACATGCTCCTGGACTCTCCGGCTGAGTCTAAAACTGGTGCCTGGAAACTCAAGAGTTCGTCGCTGATTTCTCATCTCTGCTCCTCTTCATACATTTGTTTCATTGTCGTTCTCTTTACAAATATTGTCACTCTGTATTGTCACTTTACTTTTCAGTTTCTATGAAGACAGTCACTCCACAACTCCCAAATTTCTATCCCGTATCTAGAGGCCAGGAAAGCTTTCAAAAAGAAAATCTCATTGGCCAGGGTGAGTAAAGTCTCATCACTCTTCAAATCATCTGTAGCCAGTACATGATAAAGAAAGTGCACCCACCATTGAGGAGCCCTAGTGGTGCAGTGGTTAAGCGCTCAGCTGCTCCATGGGAGAAAGATGTGGCAGTCTGCTTCCTTAAAGATTACAGCCTTGGAAACCCTAAGAGGCAGTTCTGTCCTACAGGGTTGCTATGAATGGAATCAACTCGATGGCAACGGGTTTGCTTTGGTTTTTGGAAGGACCCGTTGGAGTTCCTGGGTGATGCAAATGGTTAATATGCTCGGCTGAATGAAATGAAAGGTTGAAGTTTCAAGTCCACCCATAGGTTCCTTGGAATAAAGTTCTGGCAATCTACTTCTGAAAACTCAGCCACTGAAAACCCTATGGAGCAAAGTTCTACTCTGACACACATGGGTCGCCATGAGTCAGAGTCAGTGGCAACTTTGTTTTTTTAGGGACCCATCACTGTGGATCAAGGGGGATCAGAGAGTAGGACCTAAGACACTGGGGAGGAAGGAGGGCAGATTGTGGTTGTTATGGGTGTCACAAAATCCCCAGAAAGTACCACTTCAACCATATTCCCAACTTTACAGCAGAGGAAACAGACCTGAAAATTTGATAAACCCAGGTCACACGGAGCTGAATTGAATCATGGGTCACCTAGCTTCTATTCATACTGTACCTTTCCTTTATAGAGGAAAAACAATAAAAATTCAAACTGACTAAACTATGTGTGTGTTTTAACATTTGAAGATATGCATATTAGGAAAGCTACTGAAGAATAAATTGATTTCATGGTCGAAATACTTGGTACCGGATGCAGGGCCAAGATGGTGGAGTACTCAGATGCTTCCGGTGGTCCCTCTTAGAACAAAGACCTGAAAAAACAAGTGAATCAATTATATATGACAATCTAGGAGCCTTGAACACCAAAGGCAAAGATGAGGAATCGGACTGAGTGGCAGGGGGACAGAGAGATTGTTCGGAAGCAGCGAGGAGTTATCAGACCTGACCCAGTGGGAGCCGGAGCCCTTCAGCCCAGACCAGCTCAGGGTGCGCGATGAGGCAGGCAAGCACCAGCACTCAGGAGGCGTTTTCCACATCGGGAGAGACCCAGCAGCAGAGAGTCTACTTGGCCATCCAGAACCAGTGAGAAGCAGCCTTCGATCAGCAAAAGATAAGTACTTGCATCTGGCCTACTGCGTGGATCAAAAACACCCCCCTTAGGGAAAAACCTCTCTCCCATTTACCTCCCTGCTCCCTGCTCTGCACTGGGTCCAGGACAGCTTCAGCAATTGCCAAGTCCCCTGGGCTGGAAGTAGCACCTGTCTTGCACCCTCAGCCATTCTCTCGGCCTTGGAGAGGGAACAAATTAACAAAGGGTAAAAAATAATCTGCCGGCTCCCCTAAGCCAGGAATTCAGGGTAGGTACAGTTCCTTTGCCTAGGCACAGGCATAAGGGATCCATGGACTTTGAGTGCCTTTTCCCTGCATAGACTTGTGTGGGCCCTTTTCAACAGTGTAGGCCCTCATTGCTGCAGTACAACAGGTTATACCTGAGGTCTAACTTCAACTGTTTCATCTGTGAAGTGGTAGCTTCGTGATACTTGACACTGCTCTGCCCATTAAGCAGGGTCTTCACCTACCCACATCAGGGGCCTGAGTACTGGTGGCTCCACCCATGCCACCTAGCCACCTGAGATAGGGGCCCAGAAATAAGAGGTGCCACCCAATCCTTACAGCCAACAGCATTGGGTGCTCATAGTCCAGCTGCAAAACCCACCCACCTATGTGCTCTAGGGAACAGAGACATGCTTTCCTCCTGGACACTCAGGGGCAGCCATCAGGCCCTTGCTTTGCTCAGTGTGTGTTCCCCTGCTGCAGCTGGATGCCTGTGCCTACACCAATCACCCATGACTGTCTAGGACCGTAGGTGAGAGCCTGCACCACACACTTGGTGGCTAACTACCTGGACACCTGAGCTGAATCCATACGGGGGGAGTGGGTGGACTCCTGGGCTTACATAATGGCAGGTCTGGCCACCTGGTGGCAGGACATTGGCGCTTCAGGGGCACTGGTTATCAGGCTAGCTCACATGAGCAGCCTATTTGAGCATAACAAAACAAGATGCTAGGACAAGGTAAGCAAACATAAACATAATTTATTGATGGCTCAGAGACAACAGTCAGTATCAAATCACATAAAGAGGCAAGCTCTTTATGTGATTCAGGAAGCTCCCAAAATAAAGAATCTAGAAATTTTCCAGAGCAAGAAAATTTCTTGGAATTACTGGAGGCAGAATACAAAAGATTAATATACAGAACTCTTCAAGACATCAGGAAGGAAATCAGGCAAAACACAGTCCTCACAATAGAGGAACTTAAAAAGATTAGAGAAGAGCATAATGACAAATTTAACAGGCTGCAAGACTCCACAGAGAGATAGCAATTAGAAATCCAAAGATTAACAATAAAATGTCAGAATTAGACAACTCAACAGAAAGTCATAGGAGCAGAATTGAGGCAATGGAAGTCAGAATTAGTGAGATTGAAGATAAAGCACTTGACACCAACCTATTTGAGGAAAAGCACATAAAAGGATTTTAAAAAATGAAGAAACCCTAAGAATTATGTGGGGCTCTATCAAGAAGAATAACTTACGAGTGATTGGAGTACCAGAATGGGGGGGGGGGGTGCGGGTAACAGAAAATAGAGAGAAGTGTTGAAGATTTGTTGGCAGAAAACTTCCCTGATATTGTGAAAGATGAGAAGCTATCTATCCAAGATGCTCATCAAACTCACATAAGGAGATCCCAAAAGAAAGTCACCAAGACATAATCAAACTTGCAAAAACCAAAGATAAAGAGAGAATTTTAAGAGCGGCTAGGGATAAATGAAAAGTCATCTACAAAGGCAAGTC